CCCCCCCTACTGGTTAAATTTAACTATTGAAGATATTAAATTGATTGCAGAAAAGTAAAAACTCGTACATATTTGATTGACTATACGAAAGCCAAGCGTAAATGAAAGTGTCGAACGAATAATTGAAGAAATAAAACAAAAGCGAAACAAAAAAGTGTACTGTGCCTTAATTGGCTAATTAGAACGCAAATGAGTGTAACGTGCAACCATAGATATCCAAATTTTTATGAGTTAATGGCAATCTACATACATACATACATACATACATTTGTATGAAAGTGACTAAATTTGCGTCTTGTATTTATGTTTGCATATACCCAGTGGGAAAATGTAATGTATAGTAATCGAAAACATATTCAGTAAAATAACCCTTTTCTCATTCGAAAATCCATTTCTTTCCCAGAGCGATGTCCTAAGAAAAGTGGGGCATTCAATTTTGCATTACCTAGTATCGAGAAATGGATGTGTTTTAATATGTTTTGAAACTTTTTGAATACATTAGAATGCTGATACTGTAATCGAGAACGCATGCATGTAATGCATTACTACTTTTCCGACTGGGTATATATGTAAGTGTGACAATTAATAATAGTCGTTACATGAGTCTACTTTTATGGAAGTACGAATGTGCATATACTATATATGTGTGAATACATGTATGTACTTATACGAGACTGAATATTACCCTACAAGAAATTTTACCAGCACAGAAATAATATGCACGGACTGGACTTTGTTGGAGGGCAGTGGTTTTAGTTAAATACTTTTCCAGGTGAATTTAGCTGTGCCTGGGCGACGTTGTTTTCATTTCCAAAAAAAAATTGGAATAACCTATTTTTTGCTAAGTTTTTCTATATCTGCAAACTAGTGTTGCATGGGAAGTAAGCGTGGGTGTTTTCCAATTTTTCCTATTTTCAATACCCTCCGTCCTTATTCCACGAGTAATACGCGTACCAAAGTTTCCTCGCACAGATGTACAGACAGACACCATTTATTTAATAGATTTTTTTTTCTATTCTGAGCATTTTGGTATATTCTTTTACATATATTTTTCTATATCTAACTCGACTCCTTAAGGCTGTTACATGCAACCGTTTTGACAAGTGCGCTTGGTTATAAAAAAGTATTTGCAGCACAGCGTAAGATGTGGCCATTTAGATTCTGGTTCGAAGAGGTCGCTACATTTGAGCTGCATGCGGACTATTTAATCTAAGCAGAACTAAAAATTTGAACCAGCTCTTTCTTACAGGGTAGCTTTGAACGTGCCCGGCTGAAAGGCAACGTGTAAGTATTCGCACTTGCTTGCGTAGTTTTGTTGTTATTTATGTAAAAATATATGCGTGTGCGAGTAGCTTTAAATTAATTTTGTGTAACAAGAGAAATTTCCTCCAATATATTTACACGCATAGCAATGCACTGGAATGCGAATGTGAATAGTCTTAAAAATTAAAAAGTTAACTGAAAATGGGCAACTGTTGAAATTCAATTATAGGTAAGTGAAATTTTAATTGAAAGTGGACTTTGGTTTTTATGCCCAAATGTGTAATAAAGGAATATCAGTCAGTCAGCCATACATTCATATATATTAATAGTAGAGAAATATTTTTTTAACAAGCTTTCCAAATGTAAACAAAATGGTACAATATACTATGCAAGGCAGTTTTCAAATGCCTCGACTCCTTGGCCTCCCAGCGGATTAATTCTTTGCAGCACATTGTCGTCGGGTTCTGAGCTAAGTTTCAAGTTTGAATCGATTGCAAGATTTGACCCATATACATACATACATACATATATAGCAAGTTAAAAGCTTGTAAACAAGTTTATAAATTCTTAATGGCAAAAAATATTTTACAAGCATTTAGGTAGGCAGAAGCAAAAATTTTGATTAATTATGCTTAATTTATCGCTCTGAAAGGGTTGATCAATTACGCCTTAAAAAGGGCAGCGAGAATTGAAAAGCCCATAACCGTAAATACTTACGCTTGATTACATTTCGTTGCTGTTTTTAAATAGCGTGATTTTGATTTATCTTCACTTCAATAAAGAGCAGAGCCAATACAAATGAAAGCAAATATTTTAATATATTTTGCGGTGCCTTGAATTTTTCGGCTGGTTTTTTTTTTTGCAACAACCTCGCCGTTTTCCACCTAACAAATGCCCTGCTTATGCATCCATTTATTTCGTGGCCTATCCACCTCCTGTATGACCTTTCCCTCTTATATGGCCTTCTCCAATTCGCCGGACTTCTCCTTCTATATGCCAATTGCCCCTGTAAAGTGATTAATTTTTTAAAGAAAACGACAATTATTGTTTTTTATGTATTTTTTCGTCTTCAAATTATTTTTCTCTTAAACTTTGTCTTTGCTTCTCATTGCTTTCTTCACATTCAACAATATTAATATTTGTTTTAGGTATTTTTGATAAGTAATGGTAAATACAAATAAATAAATAAATTACTAACAATTAAGGAAATTACGCCTAAAAACAAGAAGTTTTAGAATTTGTAGCTATTATTTGTAGTTGCTGTTACGCCTGCTGTCTCCAAATCCCATTAGTGTGTGTACGTTAAACGCCTTGCATTTTCACCGCACACATAACACTCATACGCCATGGCCACCAACAAAAAGCTCTGACATAGTGCCGCGCAAATTTCCAGCTATTTTTCCAATAACAATTAACATAACAAGTTGAAAATTGCTGCCACACACAATATCGCTTTTCAATAGCGTTTGGGGAAAACGAGTCCTAAAGAATTTCCGGTATTAAATGTCCTTTTTGCCCGCCAATTTCTGCACGTGTTGTCTTTTTTCTGCTGCTAATGTTACCGTCCGTGAGTGTGTTATAATGCAAGCGTGGTTGATTTTTGTTTTCCACTAAAACGGGATGTCTCCGCTTGAAGGAAGTTTTTGGTTTGTATTTGTTTTTTAGATTTTTGGTGTTGAAATTTCCATTTCTTGCGGCCGCTTGCGTTCTACGTATCTACTAGGTACTTAAATGTAGGTGTGTAGCCACTTGCAAACTTTTATGCATAAGCTTTGTAAGCCAAATTTTGTGCTTCCACGTTTTGTTGGACTGCAGATTCGACAACAGCAGCAGGCAGACCCACAGATCGACCATCCCAAGGGCCATGGGCGGTGATGTGCGCAGAATGGTGTTCAGCGGCGATCTAGAAGCGTGCAAAGAAAGAGAGAGAGAGAGAGAGTGTGTGTGAGGGGAGGGAGGAAAGTATAAAAATAGCATTTTTATTTATAAATCTGCTCAATTTATTCATAGTTACAAAGAAGCACAATAAGTGTTTAAAACCAATAGTTTTTGTTCTGGATTTTGCGTTATTAATAACTTCAAATGTCCAGGGGAGCAAAAAAAAAATATTTACAAAAAGATATAGCAAACGAGTATAAATCAAAAGAGAGGAAATACAAATACGTGTGCTGGCGTTGTAGGAGGACATAACAAAATACTGGGAAAGCGCAGTTTTTTGTTTTGATAGCAAACAGGAATGCTTTGTAGTCTTTTGTTCGCAAATGTATGTAGGTATGTACATCAGTGTTTTTCCGACTACTATATTATTGTTAAAGTTTTTATAAAAATAGCTATCGTCTTTTTTCTTTACTGATTGCTGAATGTACATTTAATTTAAATTGGGTGCAAAAAAATATTCTTTCACGCGTTTGGTGTTTAAAACCATCACCAGCATGGAAAGGGGCAGAGGAATTAGTGAACAAAAATGTGGCTGCGGCTATAAAGGACCTACTCTTTTCTGCCTTTTCACTATGGCCAGTTTTGGTTTTAGCGCTTCCGCTGGTACTTCGGGCATTGAGATGACTAATGCCACTGAGGTGTTCTAGTGAAGTAAAGTAGAAAAAAAAACATGAAAAAGGGATTTTAAATTTGAAATTTACTAAATCGTAATGCGTTTGTTGACTTGTAAATCTTAGCTATTATTTACATATTTACAAACATTAAGACATGTCGTTAAGTGGTAGAGAATTTCGGCCTAGTACCTCTCAATAATTGGTAACATTCAGGCAGATAATAAGAATGTATGCTTAAGTGCATAATCCAAAAGATTATACTTATTTCCCATTTTATTATTGATCTGAAGATTCTATGAGTTCGACTAAGGGCTCTAACTACCACTATCGCCTTCGGCTTTCTCATTTTTTTTTCTTTTTATAATGCCGCAAAAAATATTTATCGTTGAAATTTATATACTTACATAAATAATACGAGTTTTGATTGAAAAGGCCGCAACATATTATAAACTACTAAGGACTTTTTCTTGAAGAATTTACATAAAGTAAGAAAATATGTTTATACACCCGAATAGGCTAATTTTTTTTCTTTAAAAACCGAGCTTATGGACAAAATCTTATTATTGGAACTTAATCGTTTTTCAAGTGAGCTGAAAATTGTCAAAAGTAGCCCTTCTTGACTAGAGCTCCAGACTAGTATTTTATTAATTATCACATTTCTTATTGAACACGATGATTTTCTTCTCAAAGCCATATGACAACCAAACTTCTAAGTCTAAGCAATTTTATTGAAGCATGGGCTAAGAACTTCCTGACAGTGTTTTTATATCAAGTTGATTTGATTTATGGAATGACCTTGAAACTACCAGGTTTTTAGAATACTATTAATACAATTTAAAAAAGGTTATCTGCCTTTCTACGACTAAAGTATGATTTTTTTAATAGAAATGTTTGTTCTGTCCCTATTAAAAAGTAGTGCGAGAGTACCGTGAGTTAGGCCCTATGATTGCTTACATTTCCTGGTACTAAAGACACATAGTGTAAAGTATGTATGCAAGTTGGGGGTTAAAAGGACTTGGGATAATATATACATTGACAGTGGCGCTGTGGTTTAGCTAAACGTTTTTGAAACGGGTATTTAACAGGGGTCTAGGATTAGCTTGGTAAAAAACTTACCCAAAATAAATTTTCTTACAAAAATACTTTCTGCCCACACTAATGGTTTGCCCGCGATTTTGCTACACTTTTTTCGATAGAAATAGATTTGCTATATAAATTGATTAAGTAAATATCTTTTGTTGGAATGTTTTTTTTTTTCTGTTTTGTTTTCTGATTCTATTGCAGTACATCCTGCCTATGCATTCAACAGCCCACGACAGCCTAGAAGCGTTGCAAAGAAAAATAGAAAAATATTTTCGATTAGACTTACCTTCTTGCACAATTGGAAAATGGCCAAACCAACCGACACAATGAATGAGAAGAAGCCCAACGCCAACGCATTGAAAGCCTTTATTTTCAGTATACCAATGGCCATTGGAATGACAGTCATGGATTTGAGCAAAATCAACACCATCAATGGCGTAATCAATTTACGCAAACGATGTTTCTTGCCTAAAAAAACGTGCAAATAGAGAGAAATTAATTATTTAGCTTTTTTCACAAGAGTGTTCTGGTGTCGGTGTAGACAAAAATCGCATGCAAATACAAACACACACCCTTCTTGAAGAAGTTGCCCTTCTTACCCTTGCCCTCAACCACACCATCACCGGCCAATTTCACATTAAGGCTCAACTCATCGTTGGCCAAATTGCGCGAAGAGACGGTGACTTTGGCATCACCCAGAGGCAAGTCCATGGTAACATCGTGTCCCTGCAGATAATCGCCGACAATATCGACTAAGTCGTGTTCTTCATCGTTGGCGCGTGCATTGTTGGCATCAGCGGCTGTCGGCTGATAGCCATTTGAGCGGACCTCCACATCGCCGAACTAAGTGCAAAAGAGATGGTTTTAATTGAGTTGGAAAATGATGTGCAAATGTGAAAATATGAAGAAAGCATAAATGTATTTTCGCATAAATAAAAAAGACAAAAATTTAAATTTTTTGCGAAAATGAAATGACTTTTGAAACACTTTAGTCTATAAAAGTGAGTTTTCTATTAGATTGTTCGTTATATTCGAGTACTTAAAATTTTGAAATACTTAGCTATTTACTGCCGGTCTGGATATTTAACAACTGAGATTAAATTTGTAGCAATTTAATTATAATTATGATTAGTAAAAATTATTTTTTAATATCAAGTTGAAATACTTGCAAATTTTTTGCGTCAACAGCGGTATTTTACTTCAAATTGTAAAGATTAACTTAATTTGGGATTTATTGAATTCTTCTAAATTCACTCAACTTCATGGCTTTATTTTATTCTTTAACTATATTCGTCATTCCCCCCCACCCCGCGGACAATTACTTCTCAAACCCAACACCTTTCCACTTACGTAGATAATATTTTCAAATCGATATAAATAAATTTCTTTAACTTCACACTCACTTTGTAGTTATCGTTATTGATCACTGTATCGAGGAAGCGCATGGCGCGCACCTTAATGCAGGCCATCGAATCTTCGCCACTCTCACATTTGGCACTCTCTTCGGCGATCATGCCCTGCATGTTTGTCGGTCGTACTGCTCTCGCTGCATTCGACACAGTTGCGAAGCCCAACAGTGCCACGAGGACCAAATACCGAAACGAAGCCATTTTATTCAAGTTTTTGATGCGGGTGTGCGCGTAACTAAATTCCCTTTACTCGATCCGCTCAAATGTTGTTTGCGACCTCCAGTTATCTACTACTTGTCTTGTTGATGGAACAATTGCGAATAATAATCGTTTTTCTATTGTCCACGATTTTTATACTGCATACTTAAGCTGCATGCCTACAGCAACAAAAAGATTAACAAAAAATATCGATGAAAAAACTTTAGCAATTGAAGCGTCGCAATGAAGAAATGGCGGAAGAAGACATAAAAGCCGAAACCAGTTGACAGACGCAAGCGCACCTGTTGTCTATGTATGTAGCTGCACACAAGCACAAATGAGCCGACAAATACACCATGTGAACGTAGCATATTGCAATTGCACGTTGCAAGCGCGCTTATATTTGTATGTATGTGCATACATATGTATGTGTCTATGTATGTCTCGCCGTGAATAATCGCACGTGCGTAGATGCGTTGGCGTATGGGCAACTTCTGCACAATTGCCTCTCTGCTAAAGCCGAAAGCATGTTGTTTGTGTTGTTGTAATCGATTTCATTCATACTTTAATCATTAATGCCATGCCACGCTCCCTAATGATGCGTTAAAAATTATG